CCTATTGGTTAAGGCATTCGCCTGTCACGCCGAAGTCACGGGTTCGTATTTGTTAATTTGACACTGATCTTGTGTGTGTTTTTTTCCTATTTTTACAACTTAGTTCTGCACGTACCGCACCGTTCTGGGTTAACCCTCATGTGTCAGTTTTCAAATCATCACGTATGTCTGTCTAGAGTATATTTAATAATCCATTCACTGATTGTCGCTATATGGCTGAAATAAACCTGATACAACGTCAAATGGTAAGTGACCCTTTCTCTGATTGAAGTATTTTTTGGTGTTAATTATCGTTTTAGGTATATGTCTGATTTAAAAGGTAAACTGATTTAATGGACAGTAAGTTGAGAGTATATGCTTTTGGTTGTAACAGTCCTTGAATCAAATAAACGGTACTGCCTTAACGTTACAATATAAACATTTAAATGAGAAAATCAATACCAGAGCAAACCGGAAAAAACATTAAAATTAATTTAAATGAAAATAACTAGGCATTTTAGGGTTGATTTCAACTTCGTGATAAACTGCAATCAGCGTAGTTGAACTATCATCTAATAGACAACATGTGAAGTCCAAGGAAGCATATTTCTTAAATCATGTATATTCGGTGAATATTTTGTGTTTTCACAGAACTTCAAGCAAATGAAGAATAGGTTGTCGGTTCTGATAGAGCAGGCAGACTGGAACCGGAACTCTGCCCACTGTCCTAATTACCCACAGCTCAGAACAGGCGCCGAATAGTTTTTTGGAGGAAACCAATTTGTGAGAAATAACAGATGCTGTTGTATGATTGACGGCTGGGGACAAAAGAACAGATTCTTCAACATGGGAATGTTACGGTGAACCCCAGACTGATAATAATGGCAGTGAATGCAGAAGATGCATATAATTCTGTGTTGACATAGGCAATGGGAGATAGCATATTTAATGGGACAGAAAGTGTGCATTTTGTTACACACATTTTGTTGTTTGACATAATGACTTTCTGTTGCTAAGATACCAGCATTTGGAGAAAACATAAAATTACTTAATGGGACAGAAAGTGCGAATTTTATTACATACATATTTTATTTTTCTTTGACATTGTAATTTTCTGTTGGTAAGATTCTGGGGTTAAGTTTGTCTCAAGAGATGGTTATTGTATAGAGACGGCGTTTATATACTTAATACATGGTGAGGTGAGGTGAAATTGGGTTTAACGTCGTGCTTGAGAATATTTCGCTCATATGACGACGTGCATGCGTGTGTATGTGTAAGTGCGGCTGCTTGTACTAGCCCAGACTGAAGCTGGTTTTATAGTGCTAGCCCACTAAGATACCATGCCGCAGTGAAGCATGAATACCCCACTCAGACACATTATACTGATTCCGAGCCGACCAGTCCTTGTTGTACCCATTAATGCCGAGCGCCAGGCAGGGACCAACAAGTACCATATTTTAACGTCTTTTGGTATGACGCGGTCGGGGATCGAACCCGCGACCTTCCGCTCTCCGGGCGGACGCTCTAACCACTACACCACGGAGGCGGTCACTTAATACATGGCTTAAGGTTGAATGTCTGAACTGTCAGAACTGCACACGGGTATTTGTGAGTTTGATTCAACGCATCTTTCATCAGTATTTCAGGTATGTCTCAGTGTTACAGGTCTGGGATATCTGCCTTCATTAAACCCACACGTACGGTATGTGTTAACACAGAATGAAATCTGACCAGGTAGGTTCGATGGGGTAGCCTAATGGTTAAAACGTTCGCTCGTCACGCCGAAGAAAATAAGTTGTCAGATGTCCATTCCTCAAATTAAATAAACACTTCTTTGGTTCAAAGTCATTTTCCTTTACTAATTTCCAAGATATTATCATGAACAGAATGCAAGCATGTGGGTATTCATACCTTCCAGAACCTTCCGGAAATAGATGGCGCTTCTCCTCGACGACACACAATATCAGCATAAACATATTTTGTGTCTCCGTCATGATGATGGAACAGCAATTAAGGTTAGACTGAGTGATTACTGTCTGGAGTTGTCGGCAGCTCTACTACACGCTTGTCCTTGACATTACCCTTCCCTGTCAGCTGACAAGATCATGGCAGTGTGAAGTCAGTCTCTAGCAGATAATTTGATCACATCACTCATCGTTTTGAGCATCCTTCAGGATTCGTGATGCAATGAACGTTTTAAACATGGTTTCATCTACCTGAAATCAACGGACTTATTTCTATACGAATTTTATGTAGGTGCACCTGTACTTGAGCTCACATGGTTTCGAAATAAAAGCGACATATTTATAAAAACAATCTCTGCTAAAAGCAGAGTTGATTGGACTATATCATGAGCCAAGCATATATTTGTTTCAGCAGTCTTACAGCTGTACGGCGTTGTTTGTAAACAAATCGAGTCTGGACCAGACAATCCAGTGAATGTCACCATGCGATACGATAACAGAGCATGTGTTTATGAATCACTTTGAAATAGTGATGACACTAGGTGTTTGCGGAAAGGTGCGCGTATCCTGCCCCACTGGTGACACGCGTCATAAACATGTGCAAAGTCAAGTCATCTGTTCACCTGAAATAATTCAGGAACGCAAGTGAAAATAAGGAATTGCATCGGACATAACTTTTGTCACTGATGCATCACTGTAAACAGAAGGAAGGACATGCTCGATTAATGAGGATTCTTAGACATGTTTAGAGTTTGCGTGCTACAGGCAATCCACCTCCAAATCACATTGCGATGTGTAACAAGTCCAATTCTTCAAGGAGACCTGTCTGCTGGTACTGGGCAAATGCTACCTGTTGATTAATCAACGGTATCGTATTGCCAAGAAACACCAACCTGACCTGAATAAAGTTGTCCATGATGGACATTCGATATGTCAGCGCTGTAACCGTGAAGCAATGTCACTGGCCACGCTTGGAATGGATCATTCTCACTGATACAGGGTAGATAGTCTGGATCGGTCACGTCAACATCAATACCTGAGTGCAGAGAAGGCGGCGGTCTGTAAGTTCCTTCACGGAAGGCAGATAGCACGCATGTGGCAACTGAGCTATTCTTGGTCATTACAATGCCTGCAACAGCTAAGAAAGGTCTATGACAAGAACGCTTAAATGAACTCAAGAATGGTATTGTAAACCTGATTGTCTGACTGTGTGCGTCTGTGTCTGTCTGTCTGTCTGTCTGTGCATGTGTGTCTGGGTCTGATTATCTGTCTGCATGTGTGCGTCAGTGTCTGAGTGACTTTCTGTCTGTGTATGCATTTCTTTGTGTCTACCTCTGTGTGTGTCTGAATATCTCTCTGTCTGTGTATGCATCTGTCTGCCTGTCTGTCTGTCTGTCTGTCTGACTGTTTGTAAAAGTGCACCAGACTGGCCTTCGCGAATGTGACACAATGCAGGAGTTGAACATTGATGAACAACTCATGCACAAGCGGGGCCGACCAACGCTTGTTTCGTCCCATCAAGTATCATCTTCTAACGTATTTGGGTTTGACAGAAACGAGGATCGAACCACAGACCTTCCACCCTCTAGGCAGACGCTTCACCTACTACTCCATTGCCTCAGCAGAGACTTCACATTAGCTCCAAAGTAACATTGAATGTTAAAATATTTATACGGTACGTTGATACCGCGAGACGCTATCGTTTCATAGGCTTAGTGAAACAAGAGGCATTTTACATGTTCGAATTGTTTGTACGGTGGCTGATTGTAGTTGGATGCGACTCCTGAGAGTTTCTTTGGATTGTACATATATGAAGCACGTTCAGTCGTCTAATGCTTCGCAATTAACCGTGTAGTGTTAAGCCCCTTAGGCACGCCAGGAGCTCGAGGGTTCTAATCCAAATACGTCGAGAGAATTTTGCGAGTTTTATCAGGGACTTACCTGTACTCATCCCAAGAGTGCTGTAAGTCTCAGACCTGCACCATTTTCCTCACACACCAAGCAAGCAAGCCATGATATAACTGAAAATAACAAGATGTGTCCAACTCACTCACTCTGTTTGGTGAAACCAGAGTCAGTGAAAAGTTACTGACTTAAAACTAAAAGCATGTCCAGGATGATTTGGGATTTGAACACATGACCCTCCTGTAGTTGAGGTACCAAAATATTAAAACAACTTCATTCGAAAGAAACTGGATCTTCGTCAAGAATAATTCATTTGTGAAATATCTTATTGTTCCACTAGGATTAGAAAGCCCTACTTAATGTAGTTAATGTGCACGTGTGCATACCATAGATAAATCATACCAAAGAGCAAACAACATAATCATTGTGCTTAACCCATATGAATAACAGCCTACCACACTGATTCACCACAATCCACTATTATGAACATTTTGTGAAAATGGCAAATGGTATTTCTCAAAAATAGACAAGAAATGAATATAACTTTTTAGGAAAATAGAGGAGAAAGGGAAAGTTTTAAATTACTACTGCTGACGCCAGTGCCTACAACTCTGTGATCTATCACTGAATAATAACTGATTGTCAGAAGCACATGTATGTTTACTGCACAACTGACAGATGATAATGCCGATGGAGCAGATTTCTGGAAGCACCGGTCCCTTCAGCCATAAATCAACCACTGTAAATATAAGGTTATTAAAGGTTATGCCCCAAGTGGCTCAACTGACCTACTCACCAGGAGAGATAAGTTAGGGACAGGTTTGTTTCAGACAGGATATTCATTTTCATGACCATGTGTTTACATGATGATAGAAAGGCGTTTAGGCAAGGCCGAATAATCCTTCTAAGCCGATAGCAACCATCACAAACGCATGTAAAGGCAAGTCAATTGTTCAAGTGAAAAAGGCAACTGGAACCTTTCATGCAAGTTATAACAGCGAATTGGGAAATGTTCTCCGTATGTCTACCGTAAAACATTGGGAAAGATTGACTGAGCTATACATTTTAGGGTACGTGACGGTTAGCGATACGTATACACGATGGCTGTGTGGTAAGGGTAGATATTTCATGCTTTTCGGTTACTCTCCAGTGTAAATATGCACAGTGCATTCTTATTAAGCATATGTTAATTAGGGGTGGGTATTGCAGCAAATATTCATAGTGCGATATATTGCGATGCGAAAGCATGTATTGCGATATGCATTGCGATATATTGCTTGAAGTATTTTTAAAGAAAAAACTACTTATAATCGAGTTACTGCTTGATTTATAGAGAAAAAACACAACAAAATCACCATGCTTGATTAAGCTTTAATAACAACTTTTAATCATGATAAAATAAAAATGTGAATAATATTCGGCACAAATGAAACAAGGAAATATCCTAAGATTTCCGAGTGTTACGACGATTTCCGAATGCAAGTCAAAATACCGGATTTCGATCAGCATATCGCAATACGTATCGTTTTCATGTCTGAACCGGTAAATACTGGTAAACCGGTTATATTGCGCAGCCCTATTGTTAATACAGACGAGAGAGATCTGGGTTATATCTTTCGTCAGCATCCCATGCTTGTCGTAAATGCGTCTAAAGGGATCGAGTTGTCAGACTCGGTTGATTCATGCCATTGTGTCCCAATAGCGTAGATCGATGCCCATGATGTTGATCACTGGATTGTCTGGTTCACATTCGAGTATTTACAGATCGTTTTCATACAGCTGGAACATTGCTGAGTGCGGCTTAAAACAACAAACAAAACATGCCCTTATTTGTGATAATCATTTCATTTTTGGTTACGCATAGCCTTTTAAACAATTACCATTGTGCCATAGTGCGTCACTGCATCCTTTGATAAGCGATAAGCGTCCACATTAACGACCTTTCGCACAACGAGTGATTACATATGGTTATTCTACTCCAACCCTCAGTAAAAACACAAAATTCACCTCTTTATCTTCAGGCAAAACATTTCACTTTCCAGATTATTGTATAACCTATGATTCTATATTAGACTAGTCAAATTTCTAAGAGATGTGGAGTTTAAGGATGCTTGAGGCATTTTTGATGAAGGATACCGCTTTTTACGCAGGGGTCATACTGTCATACCCACTGACTACATCCTCACTGACTTTTTCATCAATGACATCAAATTCGCTGACTTTTCTCTCATTGACATCCACTTCCCTGTCTTTTACTAGATCTGACTATTTCACCATATCCGCTTTTCTTGTCAGCATTCATTAGTCGAAATCTTCCTCGCCGGCCTCGCTGGCTACTTTCACGTCAGCATCTTTCACACCGACGTGAAAGTTTCGATCTCAAGTAGTTTTGATGATACAGAGCCGTGTCAATAATCCATTATGATAAAAACATGGACGCACTATCGAATGTGCTTCAGATTTAGCCCAAAATGTTTTAATTCTTTTCACGTGTACGTTATCAAATATTGATCTGTTTTCACCCAGTGAATATGTAATATATTCTTACTATATGGTCTGTAAGCTTTCGATATTTTTATATTTGAATTTTATAAACAATAAGTGCTGCTGTGCTGGGCCAGGCAACAAACACTTCTCTTTTAATGCAAATTAGGGGGGGGGGGGGGGTTAAAGCGTTCACTCGTCACGCCAAACAGCCGGGTTCGATTCTCCACATGGGTACAATGTGTGAAGCCCATTTCGGTGTCCTTCGACATGATATGGCTGGACTATTACCAAAAGCGGCGTAAAACTAAACTCACTCACTCAGTCATGCAAATTATGTAAGTGGTTGCTTGTCATTTTTGCGAACACGCGAAGCCGTCACTGATGATCAGTGATCCATTCCATTATCAGTGCTACCTTGGATGCACAATTGTGTTGGATTTGTTGTATACATCTGCTCACAATGTCATCTCTCATTGGTTGTCATTGGTAATATCACACCAACAGGTGTGACCTGGGGTGTGAATCGTATCCAGCAAACGAAATGTAAGTGAAGTGTATGTGGACTTTTGTTTGTGGTACAGTGCTTGAAACAGATCATGTGAAACTAAAACGGTTCGGGGATGAATCAAATACACTGTGAGACTAAAATCACTGACGATACAGAATCATGACAAATAACACCATTGTATATATATTACAGAATTGGTAGTGAGCAACTTTCAGCTTGTGCTCTAATGTGACGTCAGTGTTCGGAGTATTGATCATGACGCCGCCCAATGATTTGCGCTAACTCCTTATAGGCGTCAACATGTGGCAGTGCAGTGGAGCCAGTGCTGTAAGTCTTGGAAACATTGAACAGTGGAGTTTGCGCCAACTGCATTTGCCGGGAGTTCCTCTCTCTGAAGAAGATTTTCCAGATGCTTGATGAAGCGCTTTGATTAGTGTCCGAAACTGGCAATGAGAGCGTGAGTATTGACCTTCTGACATTTGTTTCATTAGAATGCTTACTTGCTGATAAACTGACGTTAATTGTACATACGGCTAACTCGAAGTCTCCTGTAGGTATCTTCAGGATGCTTTTTAAACAGAACAAAGTCTTATATGTCTCTAAATGTTACTACAGAATGTTTTGTACCTATTTCAGTAATTCATATGAATGTGTTTGTCAATTACTGTGAGATATTAATGATAACAAGTGTTAATGGTGAATATACCTGTCAGTAGCAGCACCCGTCAAATACGCATGGGAAAATCTATGTTTTATATATAAAATAACATATGAAGTTTTGCCATCGAGGAAGACAGAGGTTAGATGAATTTCGATTTTTGTAATCTTTACACGTGATGGTTTGGTATAGTAGATCTTAGTAAATACCAGCCAACCATGTCTTGTGTTTTCTTCGTCTTCACGGGAATAGATTGTCATTAAAATAATATTACATTTACGATCAATGACAATCAGAAAACAAGTCTCATGAATATTTGCGCTCCTTGTACATTGGACTGACTGACTGACTGAGTTTGGTTTTACGCCGCTTTTAGCAATATCCCAGCAACATCACGGCGGGGGACACCAGAAATGGGCTTCACACATTGTGCCCATGTGGGCATCGAACCCGGGTCTTCGGCGTGACGAGCCAACGCTTTAACCATTAGGCTACCCCACCGCCCTTGTACATTGGAGCACATCTGGTACTCTTCACCAACACAGGTCGTAGCAGTGTACAAAGAAAGGTTATTGTATTCTCACAGAACTAGGGCTGGCTATCGATAAAGATGATAGAGATCGATAACCTTAAACTAGATATCGATCGATTATCGATATATATCGGGGACGTAATTTTGAGGTAAAATGTCTAAAAGAAACGAATAGTTCACATCACTGGTGAGTAGTGACATGTCCTTATATGGATTGTTAACAGTACATATTTAAGCCACCACGGGTTAAGCGTTTTACCTTGTGTGCTGGCGATTAGGTGCCTGACTTTGAGGGTGTTGGTTCGAATCCCGGATGGGACAGAACCCAACAAAAGAAACTAGAATCTGTACTTTACTAAGAAAGTGTAATCCCCCAAATATAACATATGTTACATTTGAACACTTTCTAAACGGAATTGTGTATTCATACGATATTATCGATAACACAATTTTCATATAGATAATCATTAAACATTATTCCTATCGACGATATTTCCAATTATCGATCAATTTAGCCAGCTCTACTCAGAACAATCAGGCAGAGCAGGGCGGTCAGTGACACGGGGGAGGGGAGGGGGGAGGGAAGCGGCGAAGTCACGTTGACACTTGGCAGTTGATGGGCTGGACTGGCTTGTCACTGTCCGTGGCTTGCCTATTGCTGGTCTGTTCGCCTCTTCCTGCTGTCTGCCGGCTCTGTAGTGCTTTTAAAAGCAGACGAACGATTACCAATCTGCTTAGCTGGTGATGTGTGACTAGCATGACATCTACTGACCAGTGTCAGCAATACGAATCCAGGAACTTTGCCCACAGGAACTTTGCCCACAGGAACTTTGCCCACAGGAACCTTGCCCACAGGAACTTTGCCTGCTTGTTGGTATTTCTTTTTCTAATTACAATAAACACTTACCTTACTACTCACCCATCTTAATACCCTTCTCACGAATATGTTGTTTCTAAACTTCACCAAAGTTTGACAAAGAATGTAAGGTTGTTTACAGAGTTACATAGCGTTACAAGATGGAAATTATAATAAATAGTTCATTTTCAACTATCAATGTGCTATATTATATGTTATTTCGGTGTAGTTTAATAAAATAATATCATTTATATCAAGTTGTATTATTATTATTATTATTATCGGCAAAGTTCCTCCCCTGTAAAAAGTGTTGCGGGCAAAGTTCCTGTGGGGAAAGTTCCTTGTGGGCAAAAATCCTGTGGGCAAAGTTCCCTACACCCGTGGGAAGCAGCTGGACATAGGCCGGGATCACACATGGCAGGATACACTATGTTATAACAGTATCACCTACATCGCTGTCTATGAGACGGGTAATCCAGCCTTTGAAATCCTGATGCCACTATGGGGGCGGTTAGGTAGCCTAATGGCTAAAGCGTTCTCTCGTCACGCCTAAGACCTGGGTTCGATTTTCCACATGGGTACAATGTCTGAAGCCTATTTTCGGTATCCCCCGTCATGACATTGATGGAATATTGCAAAAAGCGGCGTAAAACTAAATTCACTCACTCACTTGATACCACATTGTGGATATGCCAGAAAACAAGCAGCTTGATAATCCTTGATCTGTGCTTGCAGTTAACTGCAATGTCGTTTCAGCCATCAGACTTAAAGCATTAGGAGTCGAAATATTCCAGTCTGGACGATCCAGTGATTAACATTATCAGCATCGCTCTGTGCAATAATAAGCATATCTAAACCCTCTACCCCCTCTGACGAAAAGCTTGGGTTCAGAAAAGTAACTGAAACAGTTTGATTTCAGGGGACATATGTAGCCTATATTTCAACACTATTAAATTGTCCATCTTGATAACATTGCCAACACCTTCTACCATATGTCAACGTTTCATCAATAAAAAAGCATGTTGCATGCCAAGCTGTATTTCGATGACATCGTGTCATAAAACCCGTCCTTCCTAAAGCAATCAAGATTAAAAAGTACCTCGCATTATCCTATCAAAACCCG